CCCCCATAGCCCACAGCCACCAGAGTCTCAGTTTTCCCTTAAGCCAGCCCCTCCCCCGCAGCCTGCCGTCTGGCCACAGCCAGCCCCATGGTCCCCCGCCTCACTGCAACTCACTACACCTCACTGCAGTTTCTCTCTGTCCACCACCTTGCTGGTCTGGTTATTCTGTTTCTAGAATTCCGTGGTTGTCGGAGTTCCATGCAGTTTGATTTTCTGGCACTTCTGGTTGCTATTGATTTTATGTTGGTTATTATCCATCTTTTGGTTGTACATGTGAGGAAGCAAAGGGTTTCTACCTATGCCTCCATCTTGGCCGGGACTTAATTTCTCTGTTTACAGGCTTTGGTGAGCTGAAGTCAGGATGCTCAGGCTGGAAATCTAAGCAGGGGTCCTTGTGGCTGCTGTCATACCAAGCCCCATACATGTCCTGCGGGAAAGCCGGGAGGTGAGAGGAAGGGCACATGCAACCACCCCGCCAGGTGCTCAATGCTGACGAGCTTTGGGGAACTTTTGTTGATGGGTCACCCAAGAAAGGTAGGATGTTAATTGGCCCAGAGAAGGAAAATGTCATTCCTGGCCAAGGGAACAGCTTGAAGTATGTTTGGCAAAGACTAAGTCATTTAGTCTTGTGGAACCTGAGAAAGAGATTTGGGTAGAAAGATGGGCTCTTTCACCTAGCACTTGTTGAGCATGTACTATATGCCAGGAATTTGGGTTCCAGGGAGAGAGTGGTGAATATGACAGGTAGGTCTGGCTTTTGTGGGGCTTACTGATGAAGAAGGCCCACTAACTAACCTAACACATAAATCTGCAACAAAACAGCATCAGGTTGTGAAACAAAAGCCATGAGGAAACTAAACTGTGCAGTGATGGCTAGAGCCAGTGAGCAGAATAGGCTGCTCCAGAGAGGTGCTTGGGAAAGGTGTCCCCGAGGAGGTGATGTGTGGGCAGGAGACCTGAGGGTGCAAGGGGACCAGCCACAGGGGAAGATGAGAGAGAGAACAAGCATGGGGCACCGCAAGGGCAAAGGAGGGAAACGTGGAGGGTATTAAAAATCACCCCAGTGGCTAGATCTAGGGGAGCAGAGGCGTAGTGGTATGGAAGAGGACTGCATCTTTCCTGAAGGCCCCTGAGAGCCAAGGCAAAGAGCTGGGATTTTATTAAAAGTGAAGAGGAAGCCACCGAAGGAAGTTAAGGGGTAGAGGGAGATGATTCAATTCTAGCTGCTATGTGAAGAACAGACTGGTGACTCAAGGGTGGTAACGCAGCCATCAGGAGACTGTTGTAGATGACGAGCTGGCATATGGCAGTAGTGGAAAGAAGTAAGTTGACTGGAGCTGGGTTTCAGAAATGGAAATGACTGAGCTTGCTGATGTGAGGTGGGGGCTGGAGTTGGGATTGAGACACACGATAAGGAAAAGGGAAACAAAGGATGTGACCTGTTTCTGGTTTGAGCAAACAGCAGGGGAAGGCCATTTATGGAGGGGAAGAAACTGAAGGACCGGCGGATTGCTGTGGGAAGTCACAGGTTTGGTTTTGGCTATGCCTGTAAGATAAACAAGTGGTGATACCAAGTAGATAGTGAGTGTTCAGAAAAAGATCTCGGTTGGTAATACAAAGTTTGGAGTCATTACATACAGACACTGTCTAAAGCCATGGCTATGAATGAGATCACCTAGGGAGTGAGTATAGAGAGAGGAAAAGTGGGTCAGAGACTAAGCCCTGAGAAACTAACATCTGGAGGTTGGGTTGAGGAGTGAGGAGGAAAGCGGAAGGCAAATCAGACAAGCTGAGGCCAGTGTTGTTTTAGATGCGGGTCTAGAGGTGGCCAGTATCAACTGTACTGACACTGCCAGGAAGCCTAAAAGAATGGGAGAGCAAAGCTTTCCTCTGACTTGCCACTGCAGACACCTTCAGTGACTTGGGTGTATGACGAACATGGCATCCAGAATGGCATGTGCTAAAGAATCAATGGAAAGTGAAATGCAGATAATTCTTGAAAGATTGTTATGAAGGACAGGTAAAGAATTGGGATAATAGTTGGGGGGGGAGGTGTCATGAGGTCAAGGGGCTTTAAAAATTTAAGTCAGGAGATACTAAAGTATGTTTGTACACAGATGGAAATGCTTCACTAGAGAGTGGTTGAAAATAACACAGGAGAGAGAAGACAGCTGAAAGAGAAAAGTCTTTGAGCTGGGATGGAATACCAGTTTCCCACACCTGCTCTAATAAACTACCACAAACTTTGGGACTTAAAACATGAATTTATTCTCTACAGTTCTGGAGGTCAGACGTTCAAAATCAGTTTCACTGGACTAAAGTAAGATTGTTAGTAGGACCAAAGGCCCCTCTTGAGGTTCTAAGAGAGAATCTGTTCCTTTGCTTTTTGCAGCTTCTGAGAGTTACATTCCTTGGTTCAGTGTCCCTGCCTTCAGCTTTAATGTCAGTAGTGAGGCATCTTCAAATCTCTCCCTGCTCTGGTCACATCATCTATTCATCTAGTTACATTTCCCTCTGCTTCTTAAAAGGACATTTGTGGTTACATTTAGGGCCTGTCCAGATATTCCAGGCTAATCTCTCCACCTCAAAATCCTTTAATCTGTAATCACATTCATAAAGTCTCCTTTGTCCTGCAAAGTCACACTCAGTTTCCAGGAGTTAGGTCCTGGAATGGCTCTGAAGCACCAGTGGAAGACTAGCCTTTGCTAGGAGGGGATTCTTTCTACTCCTTTTAACCCAAAGAGCAGGGCTGCACAGATTTAGTGGTGAAAAGCTGAGGGAGTTCAGGCTTTTGGCTTCAATATTCTGAGAGAAGTATAAAGTCAAGTTGACAGCTGAGAAGGATGATGACTGAAGGAGGGTGGAGAGGGAATTGCGTAAGTGGGAAAACAAACTACCTTTTAGGCTTTTCAGCATCACTGCAGAGGAGCATGGCAAAATAGCAAGTATAAGGCTGAGAACCCATGGGGTGTGATTTGGTCAGGAGGCAAGGGAAAGCATAGCAGTCTGGTGGACTGTGAGGAGGCTGTGAGATGGGGGAATTGGGAGCTCAGAGGTCACGGCAAGGGGACACTGAACAAGTGAAAACTGTAAGTACAAGAGGCATTGGGCAGAGCGGGAAGCCTTTAATTCAGACTTTGGAGACACTGCGTTTCTGGTTCTGCTAAGTTCCAGGGTTTCCTTTTGGGAGGGAATCACTGAAGGATGGATAGAGATCATCCACCTGGAGGCTGAAGACACCAGGAGTGAAGACGGGAAAGGGAAGCAAAGTCTTCAGTGAATGGGGTGCTGGGGGGGGGGCGCGCAAGAATGACCTGGAAAGAAGTTAGACGAGGGAAGTAGGCAGATGACAGGAACTGCGAGAGCAGTAGGTACCATACCCAAAGGCATTGGTTAAATGGGAGCTGGAAGTTTTGCCAGAGAAAGGGGGAGAAGTAGTTTGGAAGGAGCCATGGGGAGCAAGGAAGCTACCTGCTTTACTCCCTGGCTTTAAGGGATTCAGGTGTTAGGAGGGCTTCTATGTTCCTATATTTGTACTAAGAAGCTGATGCAATAATAATGCGTGCTAATCCTGCATTGGAATTTCCCAATATCACAGTAGAAGTGTTGGGGAAGTATGAGGATCTGAGGAGCATAGGGATGAGAGTCTGGCAACAAGTTATTGGAGAGGTTCCCTGGGTGTCTCGTGGGGAGTTTCACAAGGACACAAACCACATCACAGAGGGTCTTGATAAGAAATGTTTTACCTTAAAGTTGGGGGCAGGATGGGATATTGAGCAGCAAACTATTATGATCAAAAACAGGCTTTAGGAAAATTTTGAACTAAAGAGGTCCTAAGAAAGCTACTGCAACCGACCAGGATTAAAGTCTACTAAGGATTCAGGGTATGAATACTAAAAATGGTGAAAAGCAATGACAGTTCCAAGAAATGTGTTTGGTTTGAGTTATCGTACATACGGGAAATCAGGGAGCCAGTGGGGAATGATTCCTGTTTCCAGCTTAAATGATTGGGAGGGTTGGTTTTGAATGGAAACTGATGGTTTTGGTATTTGGCAAACTGGGTAAAAGTTCAGCAGTGGCTGAACCCAAGACTGGAGCCCTGTAATGACAGGTGAATCACTGGGCTTCTCCCCTTTTGCCAGGTCAGGAGTAACTGCCCTGCCCCATTTCCCAGATTGAGGATAAGCCAGAATCAGGGAAGATCTTGAGAAGCAACCAGTGATTATCCCTAATTAAGCTTCAGATCCCCAGGGCAGGGTCTGAACCTTCACTTACCATATGCAATAAGGCATGTGTGCAGGTGTGAATGGTGAGGTGCCCAAGCCCAGTGGATACCTTTCAGCTATTCCACAAGCCCAGCCAGAATAGGGGTGTTGTCATTCATGTTTATAAACCTAACACACCATGACTTAGGGCACAGTAAGACACACCAGCTAGTCTTTCCAAGCAGGTGCCCTGCACAAATTGCCTAAGAGAAGGCTTTTACTTTCCCTCCTACTCATCCTCCAGTTAAGGCAGGGCCGGGATAACAGGCAAGGGTTCCATCATACCTCTGAGCTCAGGCTCAGTCACAGTTGAGGTCTGGCCAAGAGTTTGACTCATTCGGGTGCAAACCCCACCCACTTTTGCTCAATTTTCCACTTTTTGCTGACAGCAGCTCTTTTTTCCCCTTCATCCAAAGGCCGGGTCTTTGTGTATGTCAAGACTGACTGAGGCTAACATTACGCTATGTGGCATTCCCGCCTGACCTCCCCGACCTTCAATATTTACCCTGGTGCAGGAACTGCCCGGGTTTGGGGAATCACCGGGGCCCTGAGGGAGTAACCGGAACTGACTAGAGGACCAGCACCTGAAACTCTCTGAAGGGTGAGGACCCTCTCCTCCTTTCCCCTCCCCTGCCTCCAGCTCCTGACGCGCGCGCGCACTCAGCTTCGCCCGGAGCAGCCACTCGCCGGCCCGGGTGGGGCGAGGAAGGGGCGCGGCCTCCGTGGGGCGGTGCGTGGGGCGGTGCGCACGGCGGGCTGGCGCCGGGGAGCGGACTGGCCGCCACGGTGAGAACCCGCCAGCCCCGCCGTGATGCCCGCGTGCCCCGGATGCCTCCTCCCAACGCTGCCGCGTTTGCTGGCCCCGGCTGCGGTGCTGCTGCTGCTGCTGAGCCATGGCGGCGGCGGGCGCTGGGGCGCCAGAGCCCAGGAGCCAGGCGCGGCGGCGGACGAGCCCCCCGCGGCCGCGGACGGGGAGGACCCTCACTCCAAGCACCTGTACACCGCGGACATGTTCACGCACGGAATCCAGAGTGTGGCGCACTTCGTCATGTTCTTTGCGCCCTGGTAACTGGCCGCGTCGCTTCATCCGCACCGGCCGGGGCGGGCCGAGCCCTCCAAGTCCTATTCTGCGCTTCCAAAGCGGCCCTGGGCCTGGGGGCGCCGGGAAACCGCGGCGAGCCGGGAGCTCGGGGACTGGGCCAGCGCGGGCTGGGGCGCTCGCGGCTGACGTGGCGCCGGGCGGCCGGGGCGGTGCTGGAAGGGGAGGTCCCCAATGGGAGCCCGGGATGCGGCCGCCCCTCCCCCATCTAATGCCCCCTTCCGGGGACGGGGCGAAGGGAAGGGGTCCGTCGCTCTCTGTGGCTGCTGGGAGTCTAGAATTTACCCCTCAATCCCCTGCCCCAAACTTGCTGCGCCGGCCGGAGGCAGCGGCCTGTCTGAGCTGCCGGACCCTACGGGCCACGTGCAGCGGCCGCTGGCAACCAGAGGTCCCGCCGCAGACGCGTACACACGTCAGATTCGGTTCACGCGCTGCAGGGCTAATTGTCCGTATGAGAGTTTAATTAGAAAACAGGAATGCACAACGGTGTGATTTCCTACTTTGTGTGCTTGTGAGGTGGGAAGAGGTGGCCGGCCCAGGCAGAAGAGGGTCCCTGTGGGGGAGTTGTCTGAATTCTGAGGGCTCCCCCGCAGCCCGGAGTGCACGGGGAGCTGTGCTCTTGGCTCTCACTTCAAGGCTGACTTATGGCACCTCCTCCCCGCTGCTCTCTTGGGGTCTGCTCCTCTAGAAAGTGTGGCAAAGCTCGCCAGGTTGAACGGACGGTGTACCTCTTGGCACTGGTTCTGGGGTAGGGACGTTGTGTTGGGCCTCCAGCCCAACTCCAGAGACCCCTACTTTGAGAATTGTCCTAGCAAAAGACAACAGGTAGTGCTCTTCTTCCACAGCACAGATGCCCCAAGGAAGGGAGGTTTACTTGGGGCAGGGCAGAAAGCTGGTGTTTGGGCACAAGGCAGTTTACAGGCTTATTGCAGAATTTGGCGTTCTTCCCTAGCATGGGGGAGAAGCTCATTGAGATGTGGGAAGGAATAGAGAGAAGATGCCTGAGGGAGAAACGGCCTGTTCAGGAAATGTACTGGTGGAAGTTGGAGGAAACTTTTTTCCCTTTCTCCTCATAGTCAGGCTACAAACTGTATTTCATTTCACTTGGAGTTAAATCAACTTTTGGGGGCGGGTCTGAGTCACAGCAGCTATTGTGTATCAACAGTGTTTAAAGTTCCCAAGAACCAACTGATTCGAATTTTCAGAACCACTTTTTGTGTAGAAAATACATTGTACATGAGAATAATTATTCATAGTTACTCTGGGAAGGAGTATTCGCAGAGTAACTATTGCAGTTATGTACACTACTTAATTGGAATTTATACCAGTGGAAATAATCTGTCTGTGAATTCTTTTTTTATTTTTAAAAGAAAAAAATGACACATAGACATAGTTAGTCCATGCAGTGCCAGTGGAGGTTTAATTTCGGAGTCTCTGTAATACCAGCTGGTCCTGGACTGAATGAGGGAGAAGACTGGCAAATTCGAGCCCTTGGTATTAACTAAATTTTTTTTAATTGCGGAAGATGGACTTTTAGATGGATGCCCCCAGAAAAAGTAACTTAAAGTTTTTATTTTGCTTCTTAATAGTCTTACTACAAAATATTTAAACAGAGATGTATGAGGTTTTCTATGACAGCATGTAAAAGTTCGAGTTTAACGGCGGATTGGAAATCATACAGAATATGCTGTGGGGTTCCCCCCACCCATCTCTTTCCAGTTTCAGCGACTCTGGAATATTGGAAGCCGACTTGTGATTTGGGATCAGGGGTACCATGTAATGAAAACATCGATCTATGTATTTTTACTCTGAACTTGACAGATGTAGGGTAGTCCCACTACTGTAGATTTTGTGCCAACATCTCTTGGGCTAGTTTGCAGGTCACGCTGAACCTGAAGATGACAAAGATGTCAAGGTTGGGGCCACCTCCTTGGAAGGACAAGGTAGCTTTGCTCTATTACATGGCGTCAGGCCACCTTCTGAATGCAGCTGCTGTCTCAGGTTCCTGCTGTGGCGAGAAGGGTCCCAAACCTGAAGGGCCAACTGCGTGACACGTATGGATCTGTCACTGAGAAACTGCCAAACACTTAATACGTGCCAAGCATGTGCTAGACGTGGGGAACACAGTGGTACAAAGGATAATGCTGTTTCCTTGGCCTTTATTCCACATATACTTACATTGAGCCTGGTTTTCCCTCACAATTACCTTCCAGAAAAGAGGGAACTATATTGTATTTGAGTCTTTTATAAAGCGGGATTCTCTTAGCTCGCCAAGGAAGTGCTGCTTAGGGAAGACACGTTTGCTCGAAGCAGGTGTTTTTTGTGCTACTTTCAGGTGCGTTTTATTGAGATCATCTGTCAAAGAAGAAAAGAGATTTTATTGAGAAATTATTTTGAGGGTAAGCAGGCATGATAAAAATCACTTTAAAGAGCAGTACCTCAAGTAGCTCCATGGTGGGCGTTGTAACTACACACTTAGCAGGCGAGTGGGGGAACCCACATGCCACAGTGATGCACAACTCGGAAGCTTGAGGTAAAGTTTCTAGTGTTGGGTCATACGGAATTCAGATACGGCGCTGCAGACACCTGACGGTGGAAGAAGACAGTCAGCTAGATGACGCAATAGATTTAGTTGATGAGAAGCCGATTCCGTCAGGAAACGTGAAGAACAGCAAGAAGCAATAATTCTAAGTAAATAATTCTAAGTAAATCCTATCACCTATCATTAAATGATAGGTGTTTGAGTGGGCGCAAATGCTTTTAAAGCTTCTCCTTAGAGAACATGCAGGATCGATTTAATTGGGGGATTGCCTTGCATTAGTAGACATTTGGTGGTATTGTAGAAGGGACCTGACTGAATAATAATGGGTCAGGTATAGCAAGAAGTGCTAAGCTGCAGTGGTAGAGGGAGAGTAAGGCTGCTTTCCAGAAGAGGAGGAGAAGAAAATGGGTACCGACTAGCCTGGGAAGTCAGGCTGACTTCTTGAAGGAAAGACTAAACCTCTGGGCAAATAGGAATTAGCCAGGTGGGTTTAGGAAGGAAGTGTCAGAGAGTGTATTTTGTGATTCCTGGGGCAAGCCAGGCTCTGGCCCTTTCAGAAAACTGCAAACATTGCAGTGTGACTCAGGGATAGACTGACTGCAAGGGAAGGCAGTAGCTAGGGCATCGAGGTGAAGTGGGAGGCCAGCAGTTTGGATTTTGTGCCGAGAACAGTATAGGGACGTTCTGGTGGGTCATAAGCAGGGGAGTGAGGTGTTTTCTTTTTTTGGTCTATATTTTAAAAATATACTTTATTGATTATTCAATTACAGTTGTCCCATTTCCCCCCTTCACTCCCCTCCACCCTGCACACCCCCTGCCACCCACATTGCCCCCCTTTAGTTCATGTCCATGGGTCATACATGTAACTTCTTTGGCTTCTACGTTTCCCATACTATTCTCACCCTCCCCCTGTGTAATTTCTACCTACCATCTATGGTACTTACTTTCTGTACCTTTTCCCCCCTCTCTCTTCCTCCCACTCCCCTGTTGATAACCCTCAGTGTGAACCCTCCATGTGATCTCCAATTCTATGGTTGTGTTCCTGTTCTAGTTGTTTGGTTAGTTTGTTTTTGTTTTTGTTTTAGGTTCAGTTAATTATTGTGAGTTTGCTGTCATTTTATGGTACATATTTTTTATCTTCTTTTCCTTACATAAATCCCTGTAACATTTCATATAATAAGGGCTTGGTGATGATGAACTCCTTCAACTTGACCTTGTCTGAGAAGCACTTTACCTGCCCTTCCATTCTAAATGAAAGCTTTGCTGGATACAGCCATCTTGGTTGTAGGTCTTTGGATTTCATGACTTGGAATACTTCTTTCCAGCCCTTTCTTGCCTGTAAGGACTCTTTTGAGAAATCAGCTGACAGTCTGATGGGGACTCCTTTGTAGGTGACTGTCCCCTTATCTCTTGTTGCTTCTAGAATTCTCTCCTTCATTTTAATCTTGGGTAATGTAATTAAGGTGTGCCTTGGTGTGTTCTTCTTTGGGTCCAACTTCTTTGGGACTCTCTGAGCTTCCTGGACTTCCTGGAAGTCTATTTCCTTTGCTAGATTGGGGAAGTTCTCCTTTATTATTTGTTCAAATAACTTTTCCACTTGTTGCTCCTCCTCTTCCCCTTCTGGTACCCCTGTAATTCGGATTTTGGAACGTTTGAAGATGTCCTGGAGGTTCCTAAGCCTCTCCTCATTTTTTTGAATTCTTTTTTCTTCATTCTTTTCTGTTTGGTTGTTTCTTTCTTCCTTCTGGTCCACTTCATTGATTTCAGTCCCAGATTTGTTTCCATCACTATTGGTTCCCTGTGCATTTTGCTTCATTTCACTTAGTGTAGCCTTCATTTTTTCATCTAATTTGGGACTAAAATCAAGCAGTTAGTGAGCATCCTGATCACCAGTGTTTTGAACTATGCATCTGATAGGTTGGCTATCTCTTGGTTGCTTAGAAGTATTGACTCTGGGACTTTGAGCTGTTCTGCTTGAGCCATAATGTTTTGGTCTGTTTGAGCCTGTTACGGATGAGGAGTGAAAGCTTAGGTATTCACTGGGGTGGGTCAGCCCAGTCACTGGGTTGTGACTGGGGACGGGGTCAGAGAGGGAGCAATGGCACTTGTTCCTCTCTCACTCAAATTTCAGTCTCCTCTGCCGCTTCCCACAAGCAAATTGGGCCCTTCTGGTGCTGGTTCCCAGATGGGTGGACTTGTGTTTGTTCTAGGACCCTGTGGGTCTCCCCAGTGAACTCTCCTGTGAGGCTGGGGGTTTCTCCCACTGCTGCCTCAACCCCCACAGGTGTTTTCAATCAGTGTTTTGAGGCTTTATTTCCCCGAGCTGGGGCCCTGGGTCATGTGGTCAATCCCACTCCCCCTTCGTTTCACCTGGTTTATCTGTGCACGAATGTGGCACTGCCTGGTCCACCGCTGCCTTGAGGGCCAGCTGCAGCCTTGCACTCCCAGCTCCACAATCCACCCCCTCGCTAGGTCTGCCAGCCACTGCCTTGTCGTGGGACCTCTCCACCCCAGCTGCCCGTCTCTGCCCCTCCTGCCGGTCTGGATGAATGTTTCTTCTTTAACTCCTTGGTTGTCAGGCTTCCATGCAGTTAGATTTTCTGTCAGTTCTGGTTGTTTTTTGTTTTTAAATTGTTGTCCTTTTGGTTGTGCAAGGAGACACAGTGTGTCTACCTACGCCTCCATCTTGGCTGGAGGTCCGGGAGTGAGGTTTAGTAGTAATTGTGAGCTAACACCTCTGTGCTGTGGTATGAAGAAAGAAGAGAGCCCTGTTGCCCTGTGGAAATGGCTGAAGAGGTGGGTTGGGCATCCTCTGACCCTGCACTCAGGATGCGTGTTACTCACCTTGTTACAGGTGCGGGCATTGCCAACGGCTGCAGCCCACTTGGAATGATCTGGGAGACAAGTACAACAGCATGGAAGATGCCAAAGTTTACGTGGCGAAGGTGGACTGCACAGCGGACTCAGACGTGTGCTCTGCTCAGGGGGTGCGAGGGTACCCCACGTAAGTGAGAAGGGCTTCCCATACCTTCCAGGTTTTCCATATCTTACGACCAGCTGCCTTTAGCCATAGAAAGTCCATGTTACATTTTTGGTATCTTTCTTTGTAGGCGAGGGGGGTGGACATGCTAAATTTAAGCAGGCAGTCCCTGCTGTTAGGGAAAGGTTGTATTAACCACTGGGTTTGTGTTAGATGGCTTTTTGTGCCTTGTTTGGAAAAAGCTGTTTATTAATCAGCATGGGTTTGCCTGTTTATAAGAGCATGTGTTTGCAAAACAAAAATGGTCATCTCCATGAAGTCCTGTCATGTTTGGTGGTCACAGGTACATTTACACAATGAGTACAGATTTTTGTCATCAAATTGGTATGAATTTTTGGTCACTCTGTTATTCCTAAACATCCTGCCTAATTTCCCAGGTGACAGGCAGAGGCTATTTCTGTTGGACAGAAGGTAACAAGATGGAATACAGCAGTTCTGACAAGTGGTGCTACTTACTCCCTTGACAGTTAAAAGAGTTTTTTGGTTTTAAGAGACAGAAATTGAGACTGACTTAATACACAAAAGAGGGGAGTAATTAGTAGGCTACGGGGGAAGCCCTGTGAGATTCAGCTCCAAAGATTTGGGAGCCTGTTTTTTACTGTCTCCCATCAAGTGACTTAACTTTCTGGCTCTGCATCTCCCTTTTGCCATGGTGTTCTTGGGCCCACCACTAACTGGCCTGGCTTGGAGGGGATGTTCATTCCGAGAACAGCCCTCGTGGCCAGAGAAGCAGAATCTTGTGCAAAGACTTCGGGCCTGTTGGAGTGAAGAGTCCTTCTCCAATAGAAGGGAAGATGCTGTTTCCAGAAAGATGGGGGAGGGTTGGTATTGCAATGCCTGAACTAGTTGTTCAAATTGATGAATTAAGTAAAGTCTATGTTAAACCTGAGCTCCATCTTCAAACCTGAGAGTCACCATGGAAAAGTGGAAGGAACTCTGGGCCGGAACCTGGAAGCCAGTGTTTGAATCCCAGCTCTACCATCTCCTTATCATGCAGCTCTGGCCACACTATTTAACCTGTGGATCCAAAGTAGGTTGCCAGTATTCACTTCAGCCCCTAAACGTCCTTGTGAAATAAAATGTGTACAAACACCAATCTGAACATACCCAGCAAATGTTAGGTTTCCCCTAACATTTGGAAATTTGGCATTTCCATATAGGACTCAGAATTCTTGATCTTTGGTGAATGCTTGCTAATCTAAGTGTCATAATTCAAGTCTACATCAAGTCAGGTCAGACAGAGAGAAAATTTTCCACTATATGTACCTACCTAAAAGGCATCATTTGTGCTGTGCTTCACAGCATTGCCTTTAAAGTAAACTCGGCTTGGATGGAGAGCATCCCAAAGAAGCGGTCAGTGAGTAGTGGGAACAGGTGAGGGGGTAGAGGCTTACCTGTTGAGAGCCTGTTACTTCAAAGTACAGGGGCAGTAGAAATGGTTGGATGGTTGGCTGTGGTGTCCTCTCTCTTTTTTAAGAAAATTTATTTATTTATTTTTAGAGAGAGGGGAAGGGAGGGGGAAAGAGAGGGAAAGGAATATTGATTCTTTGCCTCTCACATGCCCCCAACTGGGGACCTGGCCCGCCACCCAGGCCTGCGTCCTACCTGGAAATTGCACCAGCATCCTTTTAGTTTGTGAAACAACGCCCAACCCACTGAGCCACACCAGTCAGGGCATGGTGTCCACTCTTAAGCAGCTGGCCATCTGTAGCCATGTGGCTGCATACACCACAAAGCATGCCAGAGGGAAGGTGAAACCATAGGAGCTGCAATAGGGCTGAGAGAGCATGTGTTAGGGGGCAGCAGAGATGGGAGTAGAGGGTTCCTCCTGGCCCTGGTTATTACGACCTCTCTGGTGCAACTCCATAGATGCTCTTTGCAGATTTTGAAATCCGTAAAGGACACATGATCTTGGATCCTGGTTTTTATTTAGTAGACATGTCCCCCCCGCCCAAGAAAAAAAAACATGCCCTGTTTTTGTGTGTAAAAAAAAAAAAGTAAAATGAGCTTACACTCTGCTGAACAAGGTTTGGGAGGGACTTCTGTGACCTTGACACACAGGATGCAGCAGGAGCTGCCTTTTATTGAAGGCAGGAGGTGGAATTAGCTGCACAAAATAGTCACAGTAGGGCATTCAGAGTTACCTGTTGAGCTTGTCCTTTCTCCAAAAGGTACTCATCTCAGAGAGACATGGCAGGGCCTGAATTGGACAGTGAATGTAAGTGCCTGAACTTCCATGTCATTCTCCCTGTGCAGCTGGAACTGGAGGGAAGGATTGGAGAGAGACGGCATTTGAGTTCCCGTACCTGTACAGGTGGCTCACTGCTCAGGAAGATGTTTTGAGGTCTTTCTGTTGAGCCAGAAAATAATCTTTATCATCTTGGAAGATGTGAGCATGGGCAGGGCTGAGTAAGGGAGGTTTCCTGGGGCTGCCATAACAAAGCACTGCAAACTGCCTGGCTGAAAGAACAGAAATTTATTCTCACAGTTCTGGAGGCAGAAGCCCGAAACTAAGGCATCAGAGGGCCCTGCTCCCTCTGAAACCGGTCAGGCAATTCTTCCTTGACTCCCCCCAGCCTCGGGGGGTTTGCTGGCGTCTTTGGTGTGCCTTGGCTTGTAACTGCCTCACTGCAATCCTCCCCGTCTTCACGGGGCTTCACGTGTGCAGGCCTGTGTGCCCACATCTCCCTTTTTTATAAGGACAGGACACAGTCGTAGTAAATGAGGGCCCACCTTTCAACCCACTTTAATTTTCCGCTATAAAGACCCTATTTCTACATAAGGTCACATTTTCAGGTACTGTTTGTTAGGACTTCAACAGATCTGTTTTGGGGGGCATAGTTCAACCCATAACACCACATCATTACTTGTAGTAGAACTATCATCACGCTTTGCCAGAGTGACCCACACAGGGCCATTTTCTCCCCTATAGTCTCCTTAAAAAAGAAATAGGTCACCAGAACAACAACAACAAACAAACTAGAGAAGTTCGGGACTGCACTTTGGTCTTCTGCGCCACAGCTCTCTCTCCGTCACCTCCTTCATCTCTGTCTACAATGAGAATTGAAATCAGACTGCAAAATCTGTAAAGAAGCTCTAATTTTATCCCTGGAATCTATAGACATTAGGAAGGATCTCAAACTTGGGTAGACAGAAAGATTTTCAATCCAACAGGAAGAGGTTTATTTTTTAAATTACTTTTTTTGCTTAAAGCACACCAATTAGAAAAATATCACAGGTTAGGTTTTACTGATTTTTAAATTTAGCAAAGAATGGGGAATGAGCGTGACAATGCCTGATGTTTTGAGGTTCCTGAAGCTCTTTGGTGGAGGGAGATGCTCAGAACATAGAAGGGAGGTGGAGGACAGTAAGCATCTTCCAGTCGTCTGGGCAAAGCATATACTTCCAGTGTTCCATGCAGTCCCAGAGGTGGGTGTGGGCATTCATCATCATGAGATCATACTTTGGAGTTGCTTAAAATGTTAAACTTCAGGAAGTCCCAGACACACTGGCCAAATCTAGTTAGGTTTTAGCCTTTTGTTATGCTTATAAAAGTATAAGCTACTGAGGAAGCAGCACATAGGAGCTGTGTCTAGAAAAAGTCCAGCTATTGTTAATATAACAAGAACAGTTTGTGCAGCATCGATGTAGCCTGGCAGCGAAGGTAACTAGACTGGAATGCACATGCATGAACAATGACACCTTCACTGTACTAGTCAGTGGGGGCAGTAGATGCCATTGAGTGAGCATGTATACTGTGTGGCCGTTGCATTAAAAATGAGTAAGTAGAGCAATGAATCTGCATCAGATTTTGCATAAAGGTTGAACATTCCTCCATGGAAGTTATTCATATGATTCAGAAGGCTCAAGCTGTGGCAACTGGTGTTTGGCAGCTTCATCACAACAAGGCACCCATTCACTGCCCATTCAGAGTTTTTTGGTGGAACATCAAACCACCCAGGTGACTCAGCCCCCTACAGTCCAGATTTGGTGCCCTGTGACTTCTGGCTTTTCCCAAAACTAAAACCACCTTTGAAAGGGAAGAGATTTCAGATTATCAGTGAGACGCAGGAAAATACAATGGGGCAGCTGATGGAGATTGGGAGAACTGTGCGAGGTCCCAGGGTGCCTACTTTAAAGGGGACTGAGGCATCATTGTCCTGTGTACAATGTTTCTTGTATCTTGTATCATCTGTAATGTCTTTTTCATATTACATGGCTGGATACCTTCTGGACAGACCCAGTATGTCCAGTATGTTCTTTATCGGAGGCACATTAGTAAAGTCACCTAAACCCATCACAGGATCTTAGCTTCTGGATGAGGCCAGGAAGCCCATGTTAATTCAGACACCTACTCCAACCAATGTGTTGGTTTTTTTATATAGCTGTGAGACTTCACTGTAAGAGATTTGGGGAGTTAGCTAATCAAACCCACAGTTCTGATTTCTGCACATCTGACTTTTTACCTTTTGACTACGTATTGGGCATTTGCTAACAAAAACCATGCATGTGCTTGTACAAGTGTTAGGGGTGTTTTAGATGAACAGGCTTGCCAAAAAAAAAAAAAAGCTAGTCTGTGTATTTTGTGTCAATAGCCATATTCCTCCATCCTTGACACCTTCTCTTAATTCTGTCAACGGAAGAATTAGTCCCTACCACCATTCCTTGAAACTTTCTGCGAAATTTTATTGGGAGCGTGTTTTTCCATTACCAGTGGCATGATACATGATTTGGATGTATTAATTTCAGCCTCTGGCGAGTCTTTTGCTCACCTCTAAAGAAATGCTCTGTATTCTATCTGCAGATATTGTCGGAGGCTAATATGTATAGAAAAAAGGAAAAGATTCCTTCTCTGTGGAGAAGTGAATAGACTGTATCAGCCAATGTCAAGGTTGTTCTTATAGTTGGAAACTTGAATTCTCACAATACCTGGATATCTATGCTTTGTAGTAGAGTAGTTGACATGGTAGCCCGGAAATACATTTAATGCAAAACAATGCTATTTCTATTACAGTTCTAATTTTTAAAATGAAAAAAAAGGAGCAGGATATAAAAACTACTAGAGCCTGGAAGGATGTCAGATGCAGAGCAGGGAAAAGCTTGAGAGTTCTGCACAGCCGAGCGCTTGCCACTTGGCATTCGGTTCACGGCATCAGGCTTGATGTGTTTGTCTCAGCTTTATTTTCCTTGAATAAAATGTAAAACGTTTAAAAGTTTAGGATTAAGTGAATGTATCATCTTTTCCTTTGGCAAGTTGTATCAGAGAGTGGCAGATGCATGCCTGGCTGCAGCCCATTGATAACTCATTTTCTGATTGCTTCACTAAAGGAGTTTGCTCCCTGGTAAGGCACTAGTCTTCACGCAGAGCAGTTCGAAGTGCTTCAAAAGTCTGCTCTGTCTAATCATTTTTTACCCTTTCAGCTTGAAGTTTTTCAAACCTGGCCAAGAAGCTGTGAAGTACCAAGGTCCCCGGGACTTCCAGGCACTGGAAAACTGGATGCTGCAGATGCTGAATGATGAGCCTGCTGTGAGTGAGCAGGAAGCCCCTCCCTCTCTCTTCCTTCTTACATTTCTGGGTAATAGAAAGGCCAGTTTAGGAGAAAAATTAGGGATACCATTTTAAGGCTAGTTTTACTTTTTTAGAACTCATTAGTATAATAGGTAAACTTTTTTCCTTCTCAATTTTTTATTGTGATAAAATTTACAGTCTTTACTATGGTTAAGTGTACAGTTCAGTGGCATTAAGTACCTTCACATTGTTGTACAGCCATCACCACTGTCCATCTCCAGAACTCTCTTTACCTTTGAAACTGAAACTTACTATAACTAAACAATAACTCCTCATCTTCTCCCAGCCCTGGGCAACCACCATCTACTTTTTTTCTCTATGATTTTAACTCTTAAGTACTCGTGTAAGTGAAAAAGATTAACTTTTTAAAAAACTTTTTATTATGAAATATTCAAACATGACCAACAGTAGAAAGAAGAGACTAGTGTCTCTTCTACCAGCACACTTCAAGAATTTTTAAAACAGGCAATACCTGACTATTTAGTCAGGGGTACTAACCTCTTTCCCTTAGACTGTCAAATAAAAAAGTGACAACAGCAAACACAATAGTCTCTGATGTAAATGAATCAAAATTATACCTAATTTTTTGTCAGATTGGCAACCTATGTATTTTTTGGTATGCCACAAGATTTTTGTAATTAGTTTGCCATGAGATGAGGAAGGTCGAAAATTACTGGTCTGGTGAATGCTACATGTTTGATGAGGGCTGTGATGAGAATGGTCCCGTGTGCTCATCCCCAGCTTCAGTAACTATCTCTATTTTGTCAACCTTGTTTTGTCTTACCTGCCTCCCTATCTCCTGTTTGGCTGCAGAGTCAGCCCTTATGGAGTGTCATTTGTAAGTATTGTCATTTGTAAGGAAGTATCCGACAGTTCCCCCTAGTACTTTTTAACATGGCCTCGTGACTGCCACCTGTAATACAATGAACAATAATTCCTCAGCATCAGAGGTTGACTCTCGCCCACCGGGGGCAGGGCCAGGCCTCAGGCAGGGTATCCGGTGCAGGCCCCTTTGGCCTTCCTGCCCCCCTCCCACAGCTACCAGCTGGCTTGTACTCCCGCTCCCTGTACGCAGAATGCAGATCTTTCCTTTTCTTCTCCACCCTTAGTCTGTAAGAGCCTAACCAACTTTGCTGATAATGTAATTTAGTACCCTTAAAACTTTTAGTGTCCTAATGTTCCTCTCTCCATTAAGGGTAGTATCAGGAAATTGGTGGAAACTATGATTTCTGAGATATTTTTTAAAGACATAGCTGTGTGTAAAATGTTACTTACTAAGAAAAATTTATAATCCTCTCCCTCACCATTGGACATTGGGAGTTGGGAGTCTTACTTTTTTTAAACACTGTGATCATAAGCAATGCGTCGTGTCGCGGTGTGTGGTACCTCCAGATTAGCGCTGAGTGCCCGGGCCCACCGGGGCTCAGCTGGACTTAGACGGTCTGTGGAATTGCATCGGTGAGGGACTGGAAGGAGCGCCAGTGTTCCCATGCTGTGTGTTTCTGATGAAAAGTTTCAGAGCAGCCGAAGGCTTTGAATGTGATTTCAATTGAAAACTTCACTTAGACCGCGTTATTGTGTCAGGTAGGTATTCCCAGCTGTGGAGGCTCTTTTGCTCATGTGCAGTTCCAGCAGTCTCTGTGGGGCTCAGAGGTCTTTGTGGCACGTCAGCTCTCCCTCAAGTATCACAGCCGCTCAGAAGCTGGTTGCTTCCTGAGTGCAGCTACACCTCACATGTTAAAGTCTGTACGTATATGATGACGAATGTTGGAATGTGGTGCCGAATAAGTTGGCCAGAGTCTTATCTAATTTTGGTAACGGGAAAACCACAAACCTCTCAGAGAGTAAATTTGCATCTCAGTTATGGCAAGAAAGCTGAATGACCCAGGTGTGACTTTCATACAGATTTAAACTTCATATTGTTTCCTTTGTGAAAGTGTTCTCTGATGGGGGAAACTAATTTTAAAGAGGAGTTAGTATTCTCAAAAAAAACCTTTTAAAATAAACATTTTACAAAAAAAAAAAACCCCAAACCAATCTCCTATGCTGACTTTATTTAAGAAACCAGCAGCCAGTATCAGGATAGCAGAGAGACTTGGTCTTCTGGGCTGACTTCCCTTAAGTCGGTTAACAGCCTGGGGTGCAGGCTGGAAGGGTGGGGAGGCCGGGCGTAAGCACAGCTTAGATGTTTGAGAAGCAGTGTCCTGTCTCCTGTGGTGGGTGCGCGCTGGCCAGATCCCAGTCACTCAGAGCAGTAGGGATCTCGCACAATTGCAGAAACAACGATAGCATGCCTTCCTGTAGAAACAAACTTTATATTGTGAATGGAAAATCCTTTCCACTTTGAACTTTGTTGTTTATTACAAGCAAATCTGTTTTAGAAGTTTTTCTCATCTGTATTTATACCTGAGTAACTTGATATATACATTTTTATGTTTATACAGGGTACATTTAGAGTCCCCTCTAGTTATAGCAATAATAAAAAAACTACCATTTCTTACAGTCTACTCCAATTTTTATATTTTCATGTTTGCTTCCATATATTTTCTTAGTTATATAAACAGTTTATTTTATTATTTTCTTATACAGGTATGTTGTCTTTATACCGATCATGTATTATGTGGATTTGCCATAATTCAACTCTTTTCTGTCAATGACTATTTAGTATTTATAATTTTTCTGTCACTAGAAATGCTATAAGGAACATGTTTATGTTTGTAAAGCGCATTTTTCCCACCTTTCAGTGATGTTTTTAGAATATATTCCCAGACATAAAATATCAAGACAGGGGAAAAAAAGCAAGACCACTTTTACTTCTATGCCATTGCTCAATATTGGAAGAGTGCTTTCTTAAGAATCTAGACTGGGAGCTTCAGGTCAACACGGTGATAGAAGCAGACATGGCTCACCTCTTTGCACAACCACATCAACACTACAACTAAAATACAGAACAACCATCATTCAGAGCCATCAGATATCAAGTTGAATGGAAGTCTGTTAAACTACAGAATTGAAGAAACCACATCCATCCAGACTGGTAGGAGGGGTGCGAACGTAGAATGGGCTGGCCCCACTCCCAGATGGATAGAAACTCAGGAGGGATATCTCACAGACGAGGAGTCCCAGACCCACACTAGGGCCCCCAGCCCAGGCTCCAGTGCCAGGAAGACAAGTCCCCACTACCTCTGGCTGTGAAAACCAGTGGGGATCGAGTCCATGGAGGAGACTGCTGGAGCCCCAAGCAGTTCCTCTTGGGGAAGCCACACACGGACTCACCTACTCAGATGTGCTCCCTCTGTGCTCCAGCACCAGGGTGGCATCTTGAAAAGGTACCAGTGGCATACAGGGAGAGACTCAAGTATCTGGCATTGCAATGAGCAAAGGCCATTGCCCTTTGCTGAGCCCTCCCCTCAGAGCCGGTAGACTGGTACCATGTCTGAGACTCCATCAACCTGGCTAACTGTGTGTGACCCACCATGGAGACACATAGAGGCTCTACCCCACCAACTTACAGGCCCACCCAAGCTGCTTTTTCATAAAAATGGCTGGTCTTAACTCCTAAATCCTATCAAACAAGCAACAGCTGGCTTTAGTGATCTTTAGTAGTAGCCAAATTAGAGTCGTAGTTTGGCTTCACCTAGAAATCTCCAAGCCTAGCACAAGTACCAGCCATCTCAGATTGTTTTACAGCTCAGGCAGGGTGGCCCCAGGCAAAACATAGGTGGGGGCTGATCTGATCTTGACCTGTAACACCCAGGAAACCCCAAAGCCAGCACATTCGGTGGGCAGCTACAGACCACATGGGAGCACCACCACCCTTCCCCTGCACAGCTGATCCTCCATGGAGGGTGGAGGTTGGTGGTCAGTGGGCACAGCCAGTCCTTCCAGCTGACTGGCCTGGGTAAATCCCTCCCATGGCCTGCCAACAGCAATCAAGGTTCCACTATAAGAGGAGGGTATACTCAGCCCACATAAAGGGCACACCTTGAAAACCCAGCTTGGGTGATAGGGGAGGCTGTGCCACCGGACCCTACAGGACACTGACTACATTAAGCTACGCTACCAAGACACGGAGTCAAAGAAGCTCTACCTAATACATAGAAATGAATGCATGGAGGCTGCCAAAGTGAGGAGACAAAGAAACATGGCCCAAATGAAAGAACAGATAAAAACTCCAGAAAAAGAAGTGAAATGGAGATAATCCATCAGATGCAGAGGTCAAAACACTGATTATAAGGGTGCTCAAGGAACTTAGTGAGGACCTCAGCAGCATAAAAAAGACCCAGTCAGAAACAAGGGATACAATAATTGAAATAAAGAACAATTTACAGGGAAATAACAGTAGAGTGGATGAAGGCAAGAACCAAATCAATGATTTGGAACATAAGGAAGCAAAAAACAACCAATCAGAACAACAGGAATAAAAAAGACTCCTCAGAAAATGAAGATAGTATAAACAGCTTCTGGGACAACTTTAAGAGGTCCAACATTCACCTCATAAGGCTGCCAGAAGAAGAAAAGGAGCAAGAAATTGGAAATCTATCTGAAAAAAATAGTGAAAGGAAACTCCCCTAAGTTGGTGAAGGAAATAGACATGCAAGTCCAGAAAGTGCAGAGAGTCGGAGAGTCCCAATTATGTATGCAAAGGGGCCCCAGATATTATTATTAAAAGGCCAAAGGTTAGAGATAAAGAAAGACTCTTAAAAGCAAGAGAAAAGAAGTTTGTTTCTGAAAGGTTGCCCGATGGAGGGAGGAAGGAGATAATGGGTAAAGAGGTGAGGGGATTAAGAAGTACAAAGAGGTCATAAGAATAGCCATGGGGATGTAAAGTACAGTATAGGAAAGGGAGTAGCCAGAGAACACTTATGCATGACCCAAGGACATGATCAGTGTGGGGAATTGCTTGAGGGAGTGGGGGATGCTGGGTGGAGGGGAGCCAAAGGGGGAAAATCAGGACAACTATAGTAGAAAAATCAATAAAATATAATTAAAAAATATATAATTACTCTATTTAAAGAAAAGAATCTAGAGTGTACTCATTTCTGTGATGTGCCGTGGTGTTCCCATGAGGGCGGGCACCGCTCTGGTGTCTGCCCCAGAGGACAGGCAGTTAAAGTGCCCCCTGAGTGACATAAAGAAGGTCTCAGTACAAAAGCCCTTTGAACACCTTGTAACACACAGAGTGTTTTGTTTCACCTTTTTGGAACTCTTAGCTGTCATTCCCTTGAGCATCCTTTTGTGTGGGTGCTTAGCACTTTGAAAGTTTGACAAGCCTGCCACAGAAAGGAAATCTTCATGGGCTTTGTGATTTCAACTCTGTCCACCTTTGAGCTGTCAGCGCTTTCAAAGCTTTTAATGACATAATGTGAGCATTCTTTTTAATAGAAATATGAACTGCCACAAAGCAATTGAGTAATAACCATGTGTCTACAGCAAAATGGTAATTCAGAGATCTTTGCTTTATTCCATCTGTACTGGCCTCAAAAAGCGAGAAACTTAGAATTGTGTGATAAGTATTACGGTAGCTGTGCAGTGGTGCACATTGGTGTTTGCTCTGGTACTGGCAGAAGTGTCTTTCTTAACAAAACACTTCTTGCACCTTTGTTTGTTTCTGTCCCAAACTTAGTCATGTGAGTTATAGTTCTTAAAGTTATAGCTCATATTTGCTTGTGGTTTTCTCTTTGTTGCCTTGATTCATCTAAATTTGCCTTCTCATCACTTACCTATCTCTTTTATCATGTCCTTCAGAGTTTTCCCTCACAGTTTTGTTGTTCTTGGTTTCTCTTTTTTATCATTTGTGTGGATAAATGATAGCTAGGTCGTTCTCTTCTCTGGTGGTTTTTCATTCTCAGTTTTGTCTACTTTGGTACCTTTGTATATTCAGGTACTTCTTCCTTCAGAGCCGGTCAGTCATGAATTTCATTTTGTAGTCTAGGTGAAATCTCAGATTGTGCTTCAAACAGCAGGAGAGAGTGCTAGGCAGGGGAGGGCCTGTCCTTCAGTTTTTCTGCCCTGTTTAGTTGTGTTTGGGGCAGCAAAGGACAGGTTGAGGTGGAGATGGCTGCCACCTACTTCCCTCCGCTGTCAGTGCTAGGACATTGCTGGGGCAGGAGGAGGAGGTTGGCAAGGGGCCTCTTACAGAAGCATCCGAGGAGCTGTCAGGCCCTTCCTGCCCCTGCCTCGCCTCCCTCAACACAGCAGCATCCCACATAGCTGCAGGGTAGCCAGGTGAGGGAGGTCTGCAGAAGGCTGTGGACAGACGCAGGTCCCCTCTCTGATGGGTTTCACTAAGTTTTCTCTGACAGACTCAGTGACTGTGTTCTTGTTTCTTCCTGTTAGACACCAGAGCCAGAAGTAGAACCACCCAGAGCACCGGAGCTCAAGCAGGGGCTGTATGAGCTCTCCGCGAGCAACTTTGAGCTGCACATTGCACAAGGTACGGCAGGCGTATTTGTGGCCATTCCCAGTGGGGTACCTACCTCGTAGAGCCACTGAACATCCATCCCTCCCTGGCTTGCTGGGCTTGTCCTTCTTGCCACTTGAGGACTCGTAGGAAGCAGCATCTGTGGCACTAAGTCAGGATTTCTCTCTTCAGGACCCATTAACATCACCCATTAATATCACTTTAATGCTTTTCCTCTCGAGAATTATTCCTCCTTTTTTCTCTGTTCTTATGGAAATGAAAAAAAAAATTTAAGTTTTAATTTAGACAGAGGGGAGACAGGGAGAGAAACATCAATGTGTGGTTGCCTTTCGAATATGCCTACAAAGGACCTGTCCTGTAACCCAGGCATGTGCCCTGACTGGGAATTGAACTGCAGATCCTTTGGTTCACAGGCCAGCAGTCAGTCCACTGAGCCACACCAGCCAAGGCTAAGCTAAAGCCTTGGGTGTGGAAATTTGCAGTTCATAAATCACAAGTGACATATTCGATTTGTGCACTGGCTGGACAGTGCATCCTTGGGTCAGAAAGTGTTTATATTCATGTTAATCATGTGCTTATTGATCTGAGGCAGAAACAACACTTTCTCCTATCTCTTTAAACTACAGTTTCGTTTGTTTGGTGGAGCCGTTATAACATGTGAATTAGAATATGTGCTCTTTACATGTAGAATCTTTATTAGACTATATCTCATCTTTGAAAATGGTCTCCTAAATATTAAAATGCACTGTGTACAACTTCTAATGTCAGTAAGTCCTCCTTTCCTCACATGTTTCAGAAGAGTTGGCTCAGCAGTGAATGACTTGAAAGTAGATTCAGTTTTCTTGCTGACTCCATTCTCAAATGCTGCCGTGGTGAGAACGTAAGACCGGGTTGGAAATGCATGGCACCAGGCACAAGCAAAGGAACTTAAAATCATATCTGGCCTTGTAATGTCATGCCTGCTGAGAGTCAGCCCCGCCCCACCCCACTCAAGGTCTAAATAAATTTTTCCCCACCACATTTAAGGTAAAAAATAGTTGGGATGCCTTCAACTGCGTTCCCTTTTCCTTACAGACGGCTATTTATTTGGTACCAGTGCTTTGACAGTGGAACGTAAAGGGCTCCCTGCACGTGTGCCACCAAAATCACCTTGTCAGAGACCCTTTCCACAAAGCCCTTCCAGTCACTCCCCGAGCAGCAGGTATCGCTGAAGAGCAGTGTTTAGAGATGCCACCTCTGCTGAGTGCGGGAAGCCACAGCTGCATTTCAGTTTGGCCTCGGCCTGACATCTTTTAGGCTCTAAGCTGGTGAAGGTAGAACAGCCCAGGGAAAAAAGTCTCCAACCTCCAAATAATGACATTTGAGGACTTGGTTTTTTTTCTTTCTAGCTAAGGGAGTAATGCTGTTTTTTATTTTAATTTTTATTTATGGACTTTAGAGAGAGAGAGAAACATCGATTTGTTGTCCCACTTATTTATGCATCCATTGGTTGACTCTTGTGAGTGCCCTGATAGGAGGTTGAACCCACCACCTTGGTGTACCAGGGTGCTTCTGGGCCAGGGCATAAGAGTTTCTTAAGCCTTCTGTTTTATTGTGAAATAAAACACAAATATGGGAAACAGAGGTAGGGCTCAGTGAAGTGCTGTAAATTGGCCACCCTGTAACCGTTGTGCAGTCGGAGAAGCAAACCAGCCAGCCTCCCCGTCACAGCCCCTGAGGAGGCACCGTCCCGACTTCTACAGAAACCACTGCTTGCTCTTCTTCATGGTTTCATCACGCAAGTGTGTGCTCCTAAACACTGTCGTTTAGCTTGGTCTTTTTAAAATTTGTCTCACTTAAATCTGTTTAATCTTCGTGTAACCCCTACATCTCTCTTCCCTACATTCTGTTTGCGCACCACTTAGGTTGTTTGACTTGTAGAGTTCCCCAGAGTGTGACGTTTGCTGCTTGTCCCCCCACAGTGGAGTTTAACCTGTGTCCCTGATTTCTCTAGTCCCTGTGAACTGCTCGCTACCTGGATTGAGAGACAATGCCAGTTTCCATTTGATGTTTTGGGGGTGGTTTGGGCAGGACTTCATGACTGCTGAAGTCTCTGTGATGTCAGTGCCTAGATTGTTCATTCTGGACACCAAATGCTGCTGTTTTAATTCAAGCATCCCATCTTCTTTTTTTTAGCAAGAGAAACTTGTCCTGACTTAACCACTTGGTTATCCAACATGGGGTAAATGCCTGGTTCTTTCCCTTTATTTCTAGTTTTCCAAATAATAAGTTGGTTCCCCGTTGTCTTCCAAAGATGACAAATTAATTTCCTTTTGGGAATTGTTAATGAACTCGTGGATATACACATTTTTGATGGAGGGTCACTTTTTATCAGTTAAAGATTTCACACTGAACTGAGCTTTGCAAGAGGACAAAGATCAGATGCTTCCATTCAGTTTCTAGTTTGGTGTCGTGTCAGTTACACTTGCTTTTCCTCCTTCTCTGCCCTGGCTCCCCACGGAAGGCGACCACTTTATCAAGTTCTTCGCTCCGTGGTGTGGGCACTGCAAAGCTCTGGCTCCAACCTGGGAGCAGCTGGCTCTGGGCCTCGAACATTCTGAAACTGTCAAGATTGGCAAGGTAAGTGAAAGCCCTTATTAAACTGGAAATAGACTGCCTTTGGCTGGATTAATTAGCAGAGTAGCCCATTATTCATTCTGTGTGCAAAGTCACAAACTTGATTTATTATTTCCATTTAGTGCGCCACTTGATAATTCATTTCACCTTCCCAGATGGCAGCCTGGTTTCACATGCGCTGGCTTTTCCACGGCCTAGAGATAAATTATGGCTTGGGCTCCTCTGTTTATTTTGAAGCAACGGCCAACTCTAAATTGGCAGCCCCAGAACCCTTTCTGCAGAGATAGGGGGCAAAGCCTTAGAGAAAGTTCACTGGACACACTTGGAGACTGTCCACATTTGATCTCACCCAAGAGCTCCTTCCTGAAGGACGCTCGGCTCTGAGCTCACACAGACACGCAGAAGCCCCTCTCCGTGGTGAGCCCCAGCTTGCTCTGCTGCCTGGAATTCTTTCCAGCTTTTTGCACTTTATGTAGAGAAGCCAGAAGTGATGTCTAACAACTTCTGTGCCATCAAACACTTTTAATCTTATCCATCCTCTGGCACCCACAGGCATCCCTGCCTAGATTTCCTTTAATAAAAATCTCATTTTCTACATTGCCAGGGGGCTGATCTCTATACAGAAGCTGTGCTATGTGTCCAGGAACTCTAGTTAACGAGACAGCTCAGCATGGTGAGATGGGCAAAAGCATAAATCCGGCAGTCAGATGGACCCGGCTAGCCCACCTGGGGCAACCGCGCCAGGCCTCATTCTCCCTCCTTGTGAAACTGAGATGAGACCTAACCCTGGTGGCCACGAGGATGAAAGTAAAAAGCTTAGCATGCTCGGCATGGAGCCAGTGGCTAGTAAACTATAATAGTTGTTGTTAGTTAAATGGATTTTTCCAGGGCTGCCTGCAACTTGCCATAATATGTTCTCATATATATATATGATTATATATTTATTGAACATTTCATGGAAGTAATCATAAAATAATTTTCTTCTGTCTTCCCTAGTTCTTGTATCCTTACTTTAAATTACTTTTTGAACTTTGATGGGAGATTGTTTTCAGTTTACCTCAGAGTGGACACAGTCTCAGTAACTGGTCTGTCTGTGGTCCTTCATCTCTGGACAGACATGTGCCTGGGGTAGACTGGACCCCAAAATGCTTCCCCCCTCCGTTTTCATTTGAGGCTTCCTGTGCTTTAGTTCTACACTGTTAACTGCTCTCTCTGATTTTAGTCTTATCTGTTAAAGTAATATTTTTCATCCTGCTCTGCTGACACACTGAAAACAATAGTAGTCCCACATAGTTGATTTTAATGCTGGTAGAAAAAGAAAGAAGTGACTTCGATAAAATGTTTCATGAAAATGTTGAGCAGGTGGAATCTTAATAAAGATTTAAAAGAAATAAAATACCTGAAGAGCTGTGTTAGTTGGTAAATTGAGTTTATAGAACTAAGGGCATGGTGTGATGTTAATTTGACATGTCTTCAGTTTTGTTTTTATCATATACCACGTACTTCTATTTAAAACTGACTACTTACTCCTCCTTGATTTTAAAACTCCACAAGTTTGGATGGGAAACTACATTTCCAAGCTAGCACTGTGGCTGGTGCGGGCGCCTGTCACCCCGGCCAGGCCCGCCCACCCCGGGTGGCAGGCGGGGCTCCCCTTCTCCTCCTTGTTACCCTGCTCCAGGTGAAGTGTTGCTTCCTACAGGTCAGCATTTATAAGTGAGAGAAATAAATCATGCCTCTAAATCTTGTCATCCCGCTCCCTTAGCTTAAGAGTGTTTTGAGGCAGCTTTAGAAAAAGTCTCTGCAGAAACTGCCGCTTGCTGGCAGAGATGCTCTAGATCGGGGGCTTTAGAATTTTTCTTTTAAAAAAAGGACTAGTGCGTGCCCAACAGTCCACTTTTATCAGAAAGGCTCACGAAAAGACCAACTGGGGACGTGATCTCTGTTTATAGGTTGACTGCACACAGCACTATGAACTCTGTTCAGGAAACCAAGTTCGTGGCTACCCTACTCTTCTCTGGTTTCGAGACGGTAAGAAGGTATGTCTTGGTGTTGGGACAAAGTGTTTCTCTTAACCACAGTGGGCTGAGTTGTCAAGTGGCTTTCAGCAAATTGCCAGCGTGGACTGTTTGGGCACTGGTTTAAAGGAACACACGTAATGGAATAAAGGTGGCTTCTCTTAATGAATAAGATTTGGGTTGTTCAGAAAAACTGTCAGTTGTTATGCCATTTTGAAACCTTTCATGTGGCTCAGGTCATCACTAGAATAACCCAAATCTACTGTCCTAGGGTAACTGAGGTGTGATTGTGACCTCTGAGCAAGGTTAACGTTCACTCTTGGTAAGGTTCTCAGGCCCCACCTCTGTCTCTGGCTGACGGTCAGCTTCTCGGAGCATCGGAGTCAGCACCCAGGCTTCTGTGACTCAGCTCTGCAGAAGGAAGAAGCTGTAGAGTTCTCTCACCAAAGCCAAATTCTCAGTTCATAATCTGTGCTCTCCCATTTCAGTTTGAGCACACAAGCCTTGCACAGCTCGCACAGCCAGGGGAAGACCGCTGATGGGAGAGGGGGTACACATGGGCCAGTGGGGTTGGAGGAGGTGTGAGTGGTTCAAGCACTTGAGCACACTAACTCGGCCGTGTTGCTGTGTGGCCTTGTCTGGACAGCTTGACCAGTACAAGGGAAAGCGGGATCTGGACTCCCTGAGAGAGTACGTGGAATCACAGCTCCAGAGTGTGGCCAGTGGTACCCCAGAGACCGCGCAGCCCTCTGAGGCCCCGGCGCTGCCTGCAGAGCCTGAGGACAAGGTGGGTATGCACCCAGCATGGCCCACAGGGCCCTCTCCATTCTCGTCTGATGCTTGGGACAGAAGGACAATTTAAGGACAGTCCAGCCATTCAGATGGTGGTTGCCACTAATTTTTCAACACAAAGCATTTTCTTTGACTACTTTTGCATGCTTGTATGGGGTTCAAGGAAATAGGAGCTCCCCCAAATAAAGTGAGGAAAATTCTGAGTGCAGGCAGAATCCCGGAGCAGTTCCTCCCTGGGATTCAGTCATCACCGTACTTGAGGATTTTGCTGTGAAGGCTTGTCTGCTGCCGCTTGGGGCTGCATTTCTGTTCATTTCCACAATGTGCTGCAGTCATTTTACTCTGACCTGTGGTTTATGAAGACCCTGAGAGATCCACAGGAAGAGCTGTGTGCGCTGGCAGTGGAGGCACATGGCTGTAGTCTGACTCACCAAGGGGCATCTTCATTCATCCCAACAGTGTGAGGTTTCGGGTTCATTTGTTGTGTGATTGCCAAGCCCTTCTTATGTTTTAGGCACTGTCCTTGGCCACCAGGAAACAAAAGCAAAGCCATTTTCCTGCCTGGGCAGTGGTGGGTCTAGTGGGGCAACATGAGTTCACATACATGCAGGTGTCATGGGGCTATGATAAGAGTGGGTGCGGAGCTAATCACTTGTTTGAGAGGTGGGGGCAGAGAGGCAGGAAGGTTTGCCTGATGAAGAGTGTGAGCAGTACCCTTGTGGTGAGAACTAGCCATGCATTTTGGGGTGGGCAGGTGGTCGGCTGGAGGCGGGGGCAGAGAGAAAAGGGTACAGGCAGGTTGTTGGAGAGGAGCCATAGGAGCTGGTTGCAGGGGACTCTTGTCTGCTGGCCAAGGATTTTGAGCATTATTTGTAGGGATTGAATAGAGGGTTTGAGTTTTAGAAAGAGGACTGGCAACAGCATGCATGAAAGACATGGAAAACTGGGGTATTAGCTCATAAAAGATGATGAGACCCCAAACAGGCTGTGACAGTGGGAATGGAGGGAAGGAGCAGAGCCAGCGTTAGGGAGTCAGCCCTGTGAGTCCGGTGGGTGAGCACAGGCGGGGTCTGAGCTGACTCAGATTCCCGGCATATCCAGTGCACCACGGCACCAAGCACAAGGAAAGGCCAGCGTGGAGCAAGGTGATGCATTTAGTTTTCGAGATGTTGATTTTCAGGGCTGTGGTGGATATTTGGGTGGCAGTGTCCAATGGACAGGTAAATGTTATCAGTTGAGCTAAAGCAGGTTTTCTATGCTGGGTTTATGTGTATGAAGCTTAGGGAGATGCCGACACTGAAGCCGTGGGTGAAAAAGATTATTTAAGGGGAGTCAGAATAATGTTTTTGCAGGAAATCAGTGCTTGGATTTCCTAACTAAGAACCATAAGGCCTGTTTGTCAACGTGTTTGCAAACCAGAATATTTTATGTTGCTACTTTAGTTGACACAGCTAAGCTTCATAGGATGCCAGGTCCTTACCTGGGACCCCCGGGGCACTGGGGGCCGGGGGTGGGGGGGGTGGACAGGGTGAGAGGACAGCAGCCAGACATGCCTGAATGCCTCCCCAGTCACTGTCCAACCCTCAGCACTTACAGGAGCGGTCACGACTCACCGGAGCCCCCTCTCCCGGAGCCCCAGTTGTTTGAATTGAAAAACCAGTGAAGCCACCTACCTGTTCTCCCGGGGTGGGGGACTAGTGGGCCTCCTCATCCCCACAGCCCATCCCTTAGTTGGACTCTTACAGGCTGGGGACTGCCTGGGTGTCAGCTAGAAGTTGAAGTTTTGGTTTAAGAAGTAAACAAATGGTTCTGTAGCTGTTACGACCACACATGTTAAGAGTGTGTGTGTCACGGTGGTTATGAAGGTCATCCCAAATAGAGTATCATTACACACTCGGGATGTTCTCACCGAACACAGAACAGTTTCTATTTATAATAGCTTTCCAGCATTAAGTGGGTCTTTCAGTCAGTGTGGCGTCGTATTTCTGAACATAAAGAAAGATGCTGGTGTTCCACAATGGCCCCCGGCACACTCTGCCTCCCAGTCACTGACACGCGTGACTCGGCACCAGACTCGAGTGGAGCAGCCCTGGTACATTTAGTCACATGATAAATCATCCATGTTCCTGCTCTCACGAGAAAATCGCAGATGTGTTTTTGGAGAAACACAAGACATCATTCTCTGAAGAACTATTGAGATAGAGTCACTGTACAGCAGACTGCCTTGCGGCACCTTTTTCCTAATTTATCCAGCCAGAGCTTAGATGAACAGTTTTTACATTTACTTTGAATTTAAAAATGGGAAAAAGTCTTCTATGTAGAACACATTGCCTGTGCTTCTGTAATTTTTTGTAGAGTCCTTCTATAACACAGAGAAGGTCAATTTTATGAACCCATATAACACAACAGCATTCGAGTCAGGAAGAGAAGCCATATACGTACAGACTGCAGGAGGGCCAGTAAGTGGGTGTGTGGACTCTGGTCAGTGTTGCAGGCTCCACACCTGGCCAGATCCAAGCCCTGTCCACCTAGAACTGCCTGGTCCACACTGCAGGTCCCTGGAGGACAGCAGCTGCACCTGAACCCCCCTGGGCAGGTGGGGAGCAGAGCCCTGGGCTGTGACCTGCCACCTCCTCAAGGCGTCTCCTGGGCTCAGGGCCCGCGGGACCTGCGGTGGCTCTCTGCCCTTCAGAGGCCACCGCTCTTCCCTTTGGTGTAGTTTGTGAAGTGCAGGTTGTGTGGATATTTTTGAGTGACCTTGGAGGATGCATGACTGGATTTAAGAAAGTTGATTCATATTTCTGCAATCCCAAAGCATGACCCCACTGTGCTCCAAGTGATGTATTTGAATTGTGGCTTTTCCACCCCCTGAAGGGCACTGTGTTGGCACTCACAGAAAAAAACTTCGATGACACTGTCGCAGAAGGAATAACCTTCATCAAGTTTTATGCTCCATGGTAAGTGTCTCTGTAATTAGAATCTACTTTGTCCTGGCCCACTTCAATCCCATCCTATTTTTCAGCTCATTAGCCAGCCCTCCAGGCTCACTGTTGGGTGGGCATTACACTGACATCCAGGTTGTGTTGTAGGAAATAAGGAGGCGTTATCGTTATGCTACTGTGATCAGGTATGTTCAGGTTTGGTGGTATTCATAAACAGTTATCTCTGGTGAATAACATTAATTTATTTTAAAGTTCAGTCTGCTTTGGAGAAAACAGTAATGAAGGAGAATTATGATGGTCATACAAAACTTAAGTTTTATGGTATCTGTGTGCTCTTCCAAATACATGGCTTTTTTTTAAAATAAACCATGGACATCATGTTGTAGCTTTGTTCCTTAGTCTTTCTACATGTTATAGAGAAATCCAGTGGAGCTCAGCCTTCTGGTAGTGCCATTCAGTATGTCACCTGATCACCTGCCAGCCTCCTGCTCCGGGGTTCAGGAGCCGGAGCAGAGAGGGCCCGTGTGCACGTGGTCTGAGAACAAGGCAACCCAAAGGGATGGGAAGATGAGAGGTCCCAGACTTCCCAGGAGCTACTGTAACTCGACATGTCCTTTAATTTCTTGAATCCTCAGTGTCCTCAGCTGTAAAATTGAAGAAGGTTTTGTCTTCACAAATGAAACATTCCCTTTGGGAAAACAGAGTGCTAAGGAGAGTATTAGATTCTGTATTTCAAAGTGAACAAGTAAGGTCACCACATGTCACATTTGTTCTTCAGTCTGTTTCATTTTGGATATTTTTGTGAGAAACCACAATAACAGATAAAAAGTTAATGAGCACATGACTCGTATGAGTTGTGCAGTTTTAGGTCTTAAAAAATAAGAAACACTAGTAAATACTGCCTTTAAAACTGTTTTCTAGTTTTTAAAAAACCTAAAGCTGTAGATCAAGTTTAAGACAGAAGCTCCCCTTTCACTGAAGGGCAGCAGGGCCCTGTGGTTGGGGGGGGGGGGTCAGGAAAGGGCCGGCAGAGGGGAACGTTGAAAGAAACTTGGTTGCAGCCTTGGTGCTCACACCAGATCACTGACGTGGAAGGGGAGCTGAGATGTTTTGAAATGTTGAGACCACGAACGATCAAATCTAAAATGTTTTTGGCATTCAAGTAATTTAAAAAATAAATGTTTGGAGCCTGTTTTGGTTCCCGTTTATTTCCTTCTGCCCATGGTGCATTCATAAGCCAGTTAGCCCGATTTACCGTATCATGGAAATGGTTTCAGAATCCAACTGTTTTCAGACCAGCTTGCTTCTCTCAGGTTATCCAGAAGTCTACTTCAGATTGACTTTGACTTCCTTGCTTAGGATGGAGAGGAAGAGAATGGGAGAATGCGGAGTTTTATACATTCTTAGACAATTGTTGACTGCCTCAAAGCTTGACTTTGGCAGTGAAATGGGCCCAGCACTTCAACAAGGCTGTCGTTGTTCTGTTTCTAGGTGTGGTCATTGTAAGAATCTGGCTCCTACTTGGGAGGAACTCTCTAAAAGGGAATTCCCTGGTTTGGCAGAGGTCAAGATTGCTGAAGTGGATTGTACGGCGGAACGGAATATTTGCAGCAGGTTCTCGGTGGGTCCCTGGATGGAAGGAAGTGCTTACGGGCACGCTGTTGTTGGGGGCAGATCCCGGCAGGGCGGGAATTTGGTATTGTGGACTCAACCAAGATCACTCGCACTGCCCTCATTCCTCGACAAAGCACTTTTTGTGTCCTTTTTAGGTGTTCTGTTTTTTTCATTTTGAAAAGCAAGAGTCGCTCGCTAAAAGAAAGCCTTTCTCCCTCTGCTACTACACACGTTTCAGTGGGGTTGGGAGGCCTCAGCTTGTGGGTGTGAGGCTGGGAAGCGACTGAGACTCCACACTGGGGGTGTGTGGGCTGCCGCCCAAATGCACGTTCTCAGTGGCACAGCAGTCAGATGCTCTGCAGCCTTCGTCATAGATACCTAAGTGGCTCATTTTTTTGGCATGAGCCAGCATTCTGAAGTACAACATCTAAACATTTGAATGTAAACTTCCACCTGAGAGGGCCATACCAAAAGCCAGTCTTGGGTTTGGATTGTTTACGTAACAGCTGTCTTTTTTCTGAGCTCTTTGCACCATCTACTAGCCTGTAAGATTTGTAATTTATATTTTTCTTTTGTGCTGTTTTCTTAAAACACTGGAGGCTTCTAATGTTTATTACCTCATCAGATTGACATAGATGTAGCATAGACATTTTTTAGTTATTAGAAGATACCAGTTATTATTTTTTATGTGTGCTTTAAAATTCTCAAAAGAGAAAAGAAGTGAGTTGCAGCTGAAAAATATATCTCCTTATGGCTCTTGCTACTACTCAGTATGGCCCACTGAGCAGCCTGGGTATCACCAGGAAGCTTGTCAGAGATGCAGAGCTCCAGGCCCCACACCGACCTGCTGCACCGGCAGGTGCACCCTCGCCGATCCCCAGGGCAGCGTGTGCGTGAGAAAGATGGAGGTTTCCACTTTCGGGGGACGGCAGCCCTTTCACGCTGGTCTTGAATGTAGATTGAAAAGTGAATAAATAGCCCCGGGTCTTTGATTTCTGAACTGTCCAATACTTTTTAAATAGTCTGTTCACTTAAAAAATTTAACCATAGACTTTCCTGACCACTAACAGTAGGTGGGGTTTTTTTGGTTTTAGTTAAGAAATAGTTTGTATATGATTCAGACCACTGTTTTTCAAACTGAATCTTTTCTTTAAAGGTACGAGGCTATCCCACATTGTTGCTTTTCCGTGGAGGGAAAAAAGTCAGTGAGCACAGCGGAGGCAGAGACCTTGAATCGTTGCACCACTTTGTTCTGCGCCAGGCAAAAGACGAACTATAAAAACGCAGGTGGAAGTCACCTGTCCTGCCTGGCCTCCTGGACCCAGCGTGGAGGAGCCATGTCATGCGGGTGTCACGGAGTTTCAAGTGGTGGTTGTTTAGAAAGCTGAATATACTGAACTTGTGGTATCTTCTTTGTGTGTGTGTTTTTAAGTCAACACACTCTACAGATGCTTTATTAAGTTTCTCTAAGTAAATAATGTAACTCATGACCCCTTTGCAAACTAAATATTTTCAGTGGTAATCTTTCATCCCCCTTAACGTTCTCTTGATGGAATCTAAATGGTTTCCTTTGAGACTAACGTAGAGTTGAGGAAAATCAAATTGCTGGATTGTTTTTGGCACCTGAGTGACTTTGGTGAGAGAAAGCATCATCCAAAGCCTAGTTGTTGTTTTGTTTGTTTGTTTGTTTTTTCAAAGCCTAGTTTTGAATTGCCCGTGAGCCTGCAAAGGGGGCCGTGCGGCGGTATTGATGGGCCTCTGATATGAAGGTCACAATTGACTTACTAATGATGTGGTTGGTCTGTAGCGTGGGGCAGATTTAAAAACAAAACCCCACACCTCTAGAAGATACCTTCACACCACTCCCGGATTTTGTTTCTGTTAGTACTTCTCTCATTGTGAGAGGTTTGCCATAATGAAAGCAGTGGTACTTCAGACATGTGCCTGAGTAAGATAACGCTGATGCCATAATCTTACATCTGTGTCAGTATTTGTCAAGTCAGTCATTACTGTTCAAGGGATATAATTCTGTTTGCTTCTCATGGGTGAAAGATTTCATTAGTTATGTTAATTAACATTAAGTCAGGATTCATGTGAAGGTATTTAAGTCCATGTTGAAGTCCATGTTTAAGATTTGATATCTCCCATGGAAAATGTGGGCATGGGAAGTTCCACAAGGCTGGTCCTGACTGTTCTATTAAATCATATGAAGATTCTGGTTGGATTTGTCCTGAGGCAAGAGGACTACAGGAGCTTTTCCAGTCCTGGAATTAGGGACCGGGGGAAGCCTGCAGCCTCCCTACAGGGCCCAGCTGGAGGCAGTTTCCGCTCTGCCCCCAGATGGTCCTTTCAGAGGTGCACTGCGAATCATCTGCCTTCACGGAGGTCAGCCCTCTGCTCCAGGAGAGTGGGCTTAACTTGACCTAAAGACCAAAGAATGAAGTGGGCAGAGCAGAGTCACAGCTAAAGCAGGCTGTGCTACCATCATTGCTAGCCTAGCGTCCTTATAATTCAAGCCATCCTGGTTATTAAGCATTTTTACCATCACCCTTGGAAATAAGTAACCACAGGACTAGGCTTCCTTAAAATAGGCACCTGTATGTTCTTTGCTGTCAGTTGACTTCTCACAACACCCCCTCTGTGTCCATCACTGGTCACCCCACCCGCTCTGCTTGGGGGATCTGGTCACTTGGCACAAAGGAACTGATGGTACGAATCTTAGAAATGAGACCACGTCTGCTGTCTGCGGCAGGTGACAACGGAGCAGCGTCTCGACCAGCCTCTGCCTTAAAGGAAATCTTTATTAATCATGTATGGTTCACAGATGTTCTTTTAAAAAACCCAGCTTTCTGGAGAAGCACAATCCTCATGAGTGGCTTCAGCTTTGCATCACGAGTCTTGTATTGAAAAAAATCAAAGTGGTACAATTTGTTTACACTATGATACTTTCTAAATAAACTCTTTTTTTAAAAAAAAGTCTGGTCTTAAATGTTACAGCGAAACAGATATAAAATAGACAATAAATTACAGTTTATATTTACAAAAAAGCTGTTAAGTGCAAGTATAGATCATAAATGTATTATTTAATCAGTTTAGTATGAAATTGATTTCCCAGTACATGAAAAAAGACATTTAAAAGATATTCTAAGATTTCATCTGAGTCTTGCTTTCTACAAGAGAAAACTGATTTCGGTTCATAAACAGCATGGCCACCCAATCCTGTTCCTCAAGGCTAGGAGCCCCTTTCTCAGTGCATTTCCTTGACTGGTTCTCACCTGCCACATGGTGTGCTGTGTAGTAAAAGGGAAAGAACTGTTTTACTGAAATAGGTGAGATATTAGAGCCAGCGGTCCTGAAGTTAATGTGCTTTTCAGAGAGCCGTTCCAAAAAAAGAGCTGCAGGGCTGCCTTCACATGTCGCACGGTTACAGTGATGGCTATCAGAGATGCTTCTCAGCCCTGGCGGCCTCTCCTTGAAGTAGGAGCGGGTACTTTTGGTACTAGCAAAGAAAACAGCAAACGGGACAGCTGAGGTGTGGAAACCGCATAGCTCTCACACCAACGAAATGCCAGCACAAACATGGAACAGCAATTACTGGGACAAAAGGCACTTCCACATGGCCCTGGTTATGGCTCGGGCTGTTGATCCTATATGAAATTGACCTTCCTGTGAAAGAAATCAATGAATAGAGGCATCCCCTCCCAATTTCTGTTAACTATAAAATCTATTTTTGAGCAGCGTCACTAAACTGGCTGATACTTTAGCCAAGAATACTTCTTTCAGATTATTTTCCTTCTTTACTCAGTAATACCACGAACAGCTTGATGTAAAGCTAACACTAATTTTGGTGGACATTTATGGGGGAAGAAGAACCCTTCAAAGTTACATTTCTGCAGTTACCAGACTTTATGCTATGGACATTCAAACAGCTTCCAGCAAACCAACTACTCACGCTATTTTCTATGTGAGCAAATCAGTACTGAAGCCCTTTAAAATCTTCCTTGGGCAGTAAGGCACCAACCGGCATGAGGTGGTTCAAAGTCATCATCCCACTTCCACTGTGCTTCTGTGAGCTTTTTAAGGCAGAGATGTAATCTAGGAATCCAAGGCAGTATTTGCGTCCCCAGCAACTAGTTTCAAGTTAGTGGCACCCACAAGCTCTTACAACCATATTCCTGTATTTTTTCAAGATGACGTTGGAGTTGTCATCAAAGTAAAGAACTGAGATGGCATTTAGTTTAGTTGGCGCACAGCATGGTTTGGGGACATACTCAGGATTCATAAGGTGAACCTGTTCCAAAACAGAAGGAGGAAAAGTTTCCATTAGAAAGTGTACCTGGTCTTGGCTTACACCTTCCTATAAAGTGGCAAAGATCTCTGAGAGCTCACCAGTGTCTGTACAATCGCGTGGTTCGTCGCGTTCATGTGTGCGTTGAGTGGGAAGGAGCATTCTCCGTCACAGTAGTTGGCAGCATAGCCCTTGGGTGCGATGATCCAGTCCTGAATTCAAAGCAAGAGGAAGCACCAGAAAGGTGGTTAACACACAATACTTATGTCATCTGTGCTGTCAATAATCCTGTGAGGAAAGTTACATGGACAGGAAAGGAGACACGGAGGAAGGTCAGTTTCACATCAAGTGGCAAAGCTAGGGTGTGAACCGGTCCATCCGACTCCGGAGTCCCTGCTCCTCCCACAGGCCCACACGGCATTTAGCTGCTACCCGGGAGCACAGAGGTGGCTGGCTTTAGGTACTAGGACCCAGTGGAGCCTCTCCAGGAGCCCAGGGTACTCCCTGTCATCATACCACATACATATGGAAACTATCTTCTGTCACTGTCACCCGTAATTTACCTCTTACAAACTAGTGGTGGCTCTCAGGTGTGGGGCAGAATATCTGTGCTCTTCTAGATAGTTTGAGCCAATTTATAGCTGACACAGAAATTTTGGTCCATTTTCCCAACTCTTTCTCAATATGATTAAAATTTGTTTAAATGCCCAAATGTATATACATACCCTGTGGATTTTGAAAGAATGAAGAAAGAGTGTTGAGAAATGTGACTATCAATTCTGTGGTACACACAGCTGGGGAGCCCTGGGCTTCCTGGAAAGGTGCCAGAAGGGCTGGGTGCACCAGTAGTCCAAACCTTCCCCCACCTCATGCCAAGAGCCTGGGCATTTGGAAGGGCTCCTAAGTTCCTTCGTGGGAGACACCATCGTAGTTCTAAAGCTTAAGGTCATTGATGACGGCTTCTGCCATGAAGGTGAGATGAGACTGCTGAGAAAGGAACTTTGTCTCTCCCGTTGTTCTGAGAACTCACCTGCCATCCCAGGTCTTGGAAGCTCACGTAAAGCTCATGCTTCCTGCACGCTGTTTTTAATTCACTGCTGTTATAATCTGTTGGAGGAGATCAAAAGATGCACCCATTAACTCATTCATTCCCTCGCCAGGTATTTACTAGGCTCAGGATAGCAGCAAACCAGGCCCCTGCTAGACACAAAGTTAGTCACCAAACAGCTCCATCAGGTTCCTAATTGCTTGGGGGGTTCACACTCTCTGTCTTGTCTACTGTGGGCTTAGTGCTGGACACACTTGAATAATATATAATATGGACTTAAATGGACTCCTTTAAGCAACATGTTTGCTGTGAGCCTCTTATGTGCAAGCTCCATGGAGGGGGTGTGCCAAGATGCCCAAAACACTCCAGGCTCCTGACTTGGAAGACATCATATTTACAGTAAAAGTTTATTATCCTGGGCAGGGACAGTGTTGAAGCTGCACAGGGGCCTTAAAGATAGCTGCTGGGCCAGGAAAGTGTCCTGGAGGAGGAATAATGGAGTGGGCCCTGAGTGGGAGGCCCAGGAGTGACGGATTGAGGGAGACTGCACAGAAGGGGCAGGTCTCCCCTGCACTGTCCTCCAGTCTCACTGCCCAGGGTGAGCCCTTTGCCCTGTACTTAAGCAACAACTCCTAAGCCAGCAGTGCCCCATAAGAATCTGCTGAACTGTATATACTGCTGTGTGCAATTCAGGAGCCACTGGCCTCGTTTAACCTAATCACTGGCAAGAGGGCACTGGCAGTGCCCTGGTTCATTTAGGCCAAAGGGAGCAGCTCTTGTGTGATGTGCCTTCTGCTAGGCACCACGGTAAAAAAGGAAGATAAGTTAGAGAATGCTTCCATCCTCCAGGAACTTAGGGAATCAGAAGGGCGATGTGAGACATGTACCCACCTAACTTAAACACAAAACAGTATGAATGTTACAGGAAAGGCCAGAGGGAAGTCCCACTGCAAGTTCAGGATGGGAGCAAGAGGAAAAGAGAGCAATTCTATTTAGATGCATTTAAGGATATGAAGAGGAGTCAGGGGATATAGAGCTGGAGAAACTTTATCTTGATTGGTGGAGAGCACTAACCAAAATTATTTGGACTTCCTACCACAGGCATTAAATGAGCCTTTGTAGGTTTCTGAGTCAGGGAGTGAAATGTTCCAAACTGGGATTCTAAAGCATTGATCTGACGATAGTAGTGCTTGAGAGTTCCAGAGAGGGGAGAGAGATGCGAGGTAAGAAGAATTTGGAGGAAGGTTCTTAATCTAAAATGGACTTTGATAGATGTGAGAGCCTAAGTCCATTTGCATGGGACCTCTGTCCTTTTTAGTTACATGAGCCAATAAGTGACCTGACTGCTGCTTACAGCCTGTTTGAGCTGGGTCTTCTGTTTCTTGTGCTCCTGGACCCCCTGGCCCTGAGGCAGGGCCCAACACACAGTCCTCTCAATTTTGTAAGGGAAGGAGACAAGCGGTACCCGCTCAGCTCAGCGACCTATCCTGGAGGAGAGAGGCTACTTTTCTAAGGTGTTTTCTAATTCTAAACTTATTCATTCTCCCCACCTGCTCTCTTCAACCTCACAGAAGCCCCCTTACTATAATTTAAAGGACCTACAAGAAGTGAAGGCAAAACCACACAGGAGGGACATTTTCACAAGGCAGAATACCACAGACCCTCTCAGCAAAAACAGACAGGTACCCACCAATACCACACAACAAGACAAACACCTCCAGCTGAAAATAATCCTTCAACAAAAAAAACCAACCACACAAAGAAAGAAAGTATCCTGAGAGAAGATTTATAGTGCCAGACAGAGAAAATATAGGACTACAGGGACTGTAGGCAAGAGTAGTCTCTAAATGGGGTTACAAAAATAATACATAATGAAAGATAAAATAAGAAATAGAATCCTAAAGCAAGAACATTGTGGACAAAGAAGATAAATAATGGGTGACTTAGAAACAAAACCAAATAAAACTTTATAAAAACCATAATAATTGAAAATAACAACAAAATGGATGGGTTAAACATCAGGTTAGATATAACTGAAGAGAGAATGAAAGAACTGAATAATAGCCTTGGCTGGAGTAGCATAGTGGACTGAGCACCGACCTGAGAACCAGAGGGTCACTGGTTCAAATCCCAGTTGGGGCACATGCATGGGTTGTGGGTCAGGCCCCCAGCATGGGATGCAAAAGAGGCAACTACACATTGATATTTTTCACCCTCCCTTACCCTCTCTCTAGAAAATAAATTTTAAAAATCTTGTAAAAAGTCTTCCAGCCAAGATGGAGGTATAGGTAGACATACTATGCCTCCTCGCATAACTTAAGTAAGGACAACAACAATTTAAAAACAAAAAAACAACCAGTACTGACAGAAAACTGAACTGTATGGAAGTCTAACAACCAAGGAGTTAAAGAAGACACACTCATCCAGACTGGTAGGAGGGGTAGAGTTGGGGAGCTGGGCTGAGAGGACTCCAGGCAGGGCAGCTGGTGGACCCTGGGCCCACAAAGTGGCAGTTGGCGGACCCCAGGTGCACAAAGCAGCAGCTGGCAGACCCAGCAAAATGGTGAATTGTGGAGGGGCTTGGTGCACAAGGTGGCTGGCGGCCAGACGGCCCCACATTCATGCACAGATAAACCAGGAGAAACTGGGGAGCAAGACAGACTGTGCAACCCAGAGTCTCAGCACAGGGGAAATAAAGCCTCAAAATGCTGATTAAAAACACCTGTGGGGGTTGAGGTGCCGGCAGAAATTCCCAACCCCACAGGAGAGTTCGTTGGAGAAATCCACAGGGTCCCGGGATGTACACAAATCCACCCACCTGGGAATCAGCACCAGAAAGGCCCTATTTGCTTGCAAGAAGTGGGGAAAGTGACTGAAAGCCAGCTGAGAATGGAGCAAGCACCACTGTTCCCTCTCTGACCCCTCCCTCACGTACATTGTCACAACCCAGCCACTGAGTTTCCTTACCCTGGTGAACATATAAGGCTCTGCCCCTCACTATGTAACAGGCATGTCAAGACTAAAAGTAAAAATGGCCCAAACAAAAGAACAGATCAAAGCTCCAGAAAAAATACAACTAAGCGATGAAGAGGTAGCCAACCTATCAGATGCACAGTTCAAAACACTGGTAATCAGGATGCTCACAGAATTGATTGAGTTTGGTTGCAAATTAGATGAAAAATGAAGGCAATGCTAAGTGAAATAAAGAAAAATGTACAGGGAACCAATAGTGATGGGAAGGAAACTGGGACTCAAAGCAATAGAGTGAACCAGAAGGAAGAAAGAAACATCCAATCAGCAAAGAATGAAGAAACAAGAACTCAAAAAAAAAATGAGGAAAGGCTTAGGAACCTCCAAGAAATCTTTAAACGTTCCAACATCAGAATTATAGGGGGTACCAGAAGGGGAAGAGGAAGAGCAACAAGTGGAAAAGTTACTTGAACAAATAATAAAGGAGAACTTCCCAATATGGCAAAGGAAATAGACTTCCAGGAAATCCAGGAAGCTCAGAGAGTCCCAAAGAAGTTGGACCCAAGAAGGAATACACCAAGGCACATCATTATTACATTACCCAAGATTAAAGATAAGGAGAGAATCATAAAAGCAGCAAGACCAAATAAGAGAGTTACCTACAAAGGAGTTCCCATTAGACTGTCAGCTGATTTCTCAAAAGAGACCTTCCAGGCAAGAAGGGGCTGGAAAGAGGTACTCCAAGTCATGGAAGGCAAGGACCTACATCCAAGATTGCTCTCTCCAGCAAAACTTTCATTTAGGATGGAAGGGCAAATAAAGTGTTTCTCGGATAGGTCAAGTTAAAGGAGTTCATCATCACCAAGCCTTTATTATATGAAATGTAAAATGAACTTATCTAGGAAAAGGAAGATAAAAAACATGTACAGTAAAATGACAGCAAACTCACAATTATTAACAACCACACCAAAAACATATTAAGCAACTAGCTAGAACAGGAACAGAATCACAGAAATGGAGAGCACTTGGGGGGTTATCAACAGGGGAGTGGGAGGGGGAGAGAGAGGGAAAAGGTACAGAGAATAGGTAGCATAGATGGAGGTAGAAAATAGACAGGGAGAGGGTAAGAATAGTATGGGAAATGTAGAAGCCAAGAACTTGTAAGTACGACACATAGACATGAACTAAAGGGGGGAATGTGGGTGGGAGGGGGTGTGCAGGGTGGAGGAGAGTGAAGGGGGGAAAATGGGACAACTGTAATAGCATAATCAATAAAATGTATTTTTAATTTTTTTTAAAAAAATAATTGAACAATATATTTGAAGAAACTTCCAGAAACATAGCCCAGGGTCAAATGGACAAAAACTATGGCTATCTGTAAAGAGATACGGAATACAGAATACAGAATAAAGGCTCCAATGTTATTTCTGATAGGAATCTCTGAAGAAACTAATTGGGAGAAGTCATAGTTGAAGACATAAATGTGAATTTTCTAGAACTGAAGAAAGGCAATTTTCTTCAAATTGAGAAGGTACAGTGAGTCCTGAACAGAGTAAATAAATTCCTATCTAGCCACATCTGGTGAAACTGTAGTATATCAACACATAGAGACAATTCTTACAAGCAAACCTGAGAGGAACAGAAAATTACCTACAAAAGAACACAAAGTAGACCAATAGCAAATTTCTCAATAGAAATACAGAACATAAAAAAAAAAACAAAACTATGCCATCAACCCATGACTCCATACACAGCTGCAGCAGACATTTATTGTTTTGCCTACGCAGCTTCCGGGAAACTGCTCATTCAGGGGAATTCCTAGATTGGTGAATCGAGGTCCCATTTCCCACAGCAGATAGCTACTGTCATTGTCCGCCGGCAGAGTACAGGCTCCTGACTTCATTAAAGCCCATCCAATGCACCCACTTCTGAGTGAGTCAGGGGGAACCTGAGAATGGCTGGCACGGCAGCAGGCGTTCAGGGTGATGGCCCTGTGGCAGCATTCAAACTCCACTGTTCCCATGAGCAGGTTCAAGCTAGAATCTGATTCTGAGTTTTGCTTGCCAGTCTCATTGGTTGGGTTGGTACA